AAAATTGCACCAATTTGTTGTAAAACTTACACCAAATTTGATCTCTAATAAAAATAGGATTTGTTTGTCCACATATGTGTTTTTTTAGTTTCTTATTTGTAACGAGACTATTATGAATCCCACATTTAATGGAAATCACAAGACTTCCCTCTTATGTCCCTATCAATAGAATATTTCCCTTAGGGCATGTTTGATAGATCCTTATTTTTTATGGAAGTTGGAATTAAAATTTTATTTCTTACTTTTGCCACGTTTGATGACACTTTTTTCTCTTGGAATTAGTTTTCCACCTTTGCTAGTGTTCTTGGTTTTAGTTGAATAGAAATTCTCACCTTTTAGGTGGGAATTGAAATTCCATCTTCTTTTTTTTTCTCAATAGAAACAAATTTTATACCCAATTGTAAAAAAAAAAAATATCCCTTTAATTCACAATTTCCATGTAAAACAAAGTCGAACGAAAGCCAAAAATTTTCCAATTTTTTTTAAATCTTTTGGTAATCCAAACATATTATATCCCTAATTGTAAGAAATTATATCCCTTTAATTGACAATATTCATGAAAAACAAAGTCAAACGAATATCAAAAGATAGAAAATTTCAACATTTTTCAGGTGAAAAATTATATCAATCAAACACAATTAATTGACAATTCTTAATAAAGCAAATTTTAGGCAATTCCATTCTCTGCAATTTATTTTCTTTCCACCCAAATTCCATCTTTGAATCAAACGGACCCTTAGTGTTTAATAATTGATTCTGGATTCTAAAAATAGTCATTGATTATCTTGAAGTGAGACTCGGAATCCTATCTAATCTCATCCGATATAAATATCTTGGAGTGAGACCTGGAATCCTATCTAGTCTCATCCGATATAAATATTTTGGAGTGAGCTAGGGTATGTGAGGAATTTTATATGATTATACGAATTATTGTGTTCTTTATTTCCTCTACTTTTATATTTTATGGCTTTTAAATAAACTCTCAGAACAAGGATTATGTAGGCAAATTGAAGAATTCATCCAATTATCAACAAGTGCCAAGTGGTATCAAAGTGTTAGGTTGTTCAAAGTGTTGGGGCTCCAAAATATATGTTTGGTGATGTGGATTTTGACAAGAGAATCAAGATGTGTTTGAGCCACATTATTTTAGAAAAATGTATTTTAGAATAATATATCGATGAAGAATGTGTAGTTGAAAAAGAGTGAAAAATTATTGATGTAATGGAAAATATTATTTTATTAAAAAATGTATGGTTGAAATTAGTAAAAGAACAAGAATAAAAATTACAATGTGACTCTAACAGGGGCTCAATTTTGGCTTGGGACACATAAAAGTCAATGATTTTTTGATCAATTTATATTGCACAAAAATTTTGGAAAAAATCATCCCCATTTTTTATGTGTGAATAGTTTTGGACACCTCAAAAACAGATTGTCAAAAAGTGGAGCATGGCCGGCTAATTGCTTAAAATCAGTATATGGAGATACCAATTGCGTTGCTAACGGTGCCTCCTTTTTTTTTTTTGGATACCCCAGTATCCCAATTTAATCGGACTAAATCCTGGACCTTTAGCCACCGGCCCCTCAGTGACTCGAGGAGGTAAACCACGGATTATGCCCTTGTTGGCTCCCAGGTTCTTACACCGTTTATACTCCTGGCCCCAAGAGAGCTCTTCTCATTGCCTTCCAGTCATTGCCTTGCCTTCGAGAAAATTCCCCTTCCAAGACTCGTGCCTTCCAGGAATCGAACTCTCCACGCTGGGGTTGCAAGTCCACAAATGCAATTGTTCCACCAACTCGAATGTGCCCTGGGGGGCACGGTGCCTCTTTTTTTAATAAGGGACAGAGATATTCTTGGGTAGAATATGTTCAACCTTATAGCATGTATTTGACAAATAAGTTGTCATGATAAAGAATGTTTTATTCAGAATGTTTTATTTGTTGGTGGGTCCATAATTTTGCACACAAATATTAGTTTGGTATTGATGCAGTGTGTGGTGAAAATTTGTCAGTGGCATTAACTCCCAAGAAAGTAGTGGTGGCAAATGGGTCGAGCGGCT